GCCTTCATGGACCTCATGAACCGAGTGTTCAAACACTATCTTGATGAGTTCATCATCGTCTTCATTGACGACATCTTCATATACTCCAAGTCACTAGAGGCCCATGAGCAGCACTTGCGAACGGTTTTACAAACACTACATGATCACAAACTTTACGCCAAGTTGAAGAAATGTGAATTCTGGATCACTAGTGTACACTTTCTCGGTCACGTCATTAACAAAGATGGCATCTCGGTTGACCCCCAAAAAGTTACAACAATCATGAATCGGCCACAACCTACCAATGTGTCAGAAAGTTGAAGTTTCTTAGGTCTAGCTGGTTATTACCGACGCTTCGTGCAAGATTTCTCAAAAATAGCATCACCATTGACCCAGCTAACTCAGAAGAACACACCCTTTAAATGGACTAACAAACAAGAGCTTTGCTTCCAAGAATTAAAAAATCAACTTGTGTCAACTCCTATACTTGCACTTCCTACAGGAGTAGATGGTTCCTAATTTATAGTGATGCCTCATACAATGGTTTGGGTTGCGTTCTCATGCAAAACGGAAAAGTCATTGCTTATGCTTTGTGACAATTAAAGACTCGCGAGAAGAACTACCCGACTTATGATTTGGAATTGGCTGCGGTGATCTTTGCCCTCGAAATCTGGCGTCATTATCTCTATAGTGAAACCTGCGAGATTTACACTAATCACAAGAGTCTTAAATATGTTCACACAGAAGGAACTGAATATGAGGCAACGGCGGTGGCAAAAATTTATGAAAGACTATGATGTAGAGATCTATCACCATCCAGGCAAAGCTAACATGATGGTAGACGTACTGAGCCGAAAGACGACTAGAGGTTTGGCATGTACTCTCGTTTCCCGCAAGATCAATGGACTGCTCACCAACATAACCGTAGAACCTATCTTGATTGAAGAAATTAGAGAACGCCAATGTGAAAATAACATTTTGAAGAAAAAGTACGAGGAGCAAAGGAGTACACCTGATCCTGATTTCACAATAAGCAATGGGATACTAAAATTTCAAAATCAAATTTGTGTACCCGATATTTCGAAACGCAAGAAGAAGATACTGGTGGAAGCTCATAACTCGAGATTTGCAGTCCACCCTGGTAACACAAAGATGTACCGGGATTTGAAGGAACACTACTGGTGGACCGGAATGAAAAGAGACATAGCAAGCCTTGTCTCCAAATGTCTGCATTATTAGCATGTTAAAGTAGAACATCAGAGACCTGCAGGACTGCTGCAACCACTCCCTATTCCTGAATGGAAATAGGAGCACATCATATTCACTATGGACTTCGTGGCCGAGCTACCACAATCATTTTTGAAGAATGATGCAATCTAGGTTATAGTAGACCGATTGACGAAGTCGGCGCATTTTCTACCAATCAAAATCATGTACTCCCTTAATAAGTTTGCCACATTGTACATCAAGGAAGTTATTCGTTTGCATGGCGCCCTAGTTTCAATCGTGTCTGACCGAGACCCCTGCTTCGTGTCTCACTCTTGGAACAAATTTCAGGAGGCTTTGGGGACTACACTAAAGTTTAGCACTGCTTATCACCCACAAACTGATAGGCAATCCGAAAGAATAATCCAAATGTTGGAAGACATGTTACGTGTATGCGTGTTGGACCTCAAAGGTAACTGGGATGAGCACCTACCTTTAGTGGAATTCGCCTATAACAACAGCTATCAGGCAAGCATTGGAATGGTGCCGTACGAAACTCTGTATGGAAGGAGATGTCGATCACCTCTATGGTGGACGGAAGTCGGGGACAGGAAATTGTTAGGCCCCAAGATCGTGCAAGTCACAAGTGAGAAAATCCAACTCATCCAACAGCAAATTCGCACTGCTCAGAGCCGCCAAAAAAGTTATGCAGATACACAGAGACAGGACTTGGAATTTCAAGTAGGGGATCATGTGTTCCTTAAGATCTCACCAACAAGAGGAGTTATCCAATTTGGAAAGCAAGGAAAGCTAAACCCACGTTACATTGGGCCATTCGAGATACTGGAAATGATTGGTCCTGTAGCCTATCGCCTTACACTACCACCTGAACTATCTAATGTCTACAATGTGTTTCACGTTTCAATGCTTCAACGGTATCTTCGAGATCCAAAACATGTTGATTATGAGAACCTGGAAGTTCAAGAGGATCTCTCTTACGAAGAGCAACCAGTGTAGATTCTCGATCGTCGTGATCAAGTTCTTCGAAACAAGACCATACCGTTAGTAAAAGTCTTATGGCGAAATCATCGTATCGAGGAAGCTACGTGGGAAACGGAAAGTCAATAAGAGCCAAATACCCACACCTCTTCGAAAATTAAGGTACGTCAAGTTTGGGGACAAACTTCTATTTAAGATGGACGAAATGTGACACCCTAAACGTTTAATTAAATATCACATAAATATTTGTAGTTATTTATAATTGTGGTTGTATGCGATAATATATTACTAAAACAATAAATAAATAAATAAATACTAATAACAATAATAATAAAATAAATATATGGAATAATAATAATAATAATAATAATAGGAGGAGTGATAGTAAAATAAAATAATTAATTTTCTGTTGGTATGTGATAAATTGTTATTTAATTAGTTTTTTTTTTATTATTATTAATATCAAACGAATGGTACATAATTAGTATAAATAATTAGGTGAAGGTATAATTATCATAAAAGTTAATATAATAAGACAAGTATAAATCCAGGCAGAATCTAATCCAAATCTAAGGAAGATCGGTTGTGGGCACATGTCGAGTGATGGCACGGTTTGCCTCCCTATAAATAGGGAGGAGTTGATCAAGAATCAAGATCAGTGAAAAAAAAATAAAAAACAAAGAGGAGGAGAAACACGCTAGAGTATTGAAGGTAGGGAACTTATAGTAGGAAGGTTTGTGGTAGTAGAAAGTAAAGGCTAAGGGTTGTGAGCTATATTATACCTTGAGTCATTATAATATATTTTACGTATGCTTTAATTTATCATAATTTACGTATGTTTTGACTTATTATAATTTATTTTATACAAATTATGTTTTATAAATTATATTAATATTTCAATTACGTGGGTTATTTTCTGGACTCTATTTGTTTAAAATGAAACTCATGGATATGTTTGTTTAAATTTTAGTATATATTTGACTATGACCTTATAAACAATTATGTTTTGTAAGTAACACCACTGGAGTCTCATGTCTTGGGGGACTTAAATAACCATTGGTCTCTATTTAGCCACTTTGTCATGAATCCATTGACTTCTGTTCTGACTATCACTTCTGTGACCTCTGTTTTGTTCCGTGGTTATGGTTATTTATTTATATAATTTCTGTATTTCAGTTTCTGCTACTTAAATAATTTATTTACAAAATTAAGTTATGTAAATGTTTTGACTTAACTAACTATCCATGGTTATTTTTGTATTCCCTATACTCTTGGCATAATATTTCTCATTTTGCTATGTGCTTATAGTTGTTACCATTTCAGGTCATGAGATTTAAGGAAGACCCATAACCGCATGTAGTGGAATCTGTGCCAGAAATTGATGCGGATCCGTTAATTTGTTTTTTTTTTTCTTTTCTTCCTACTGTTTTTTTTTTCCTGATGGCCGGTTGCTGCATAATAAAATAATAAAAGCCTATAAATGTACTTTTTTTAAAATAGTAGAATAAAGTAACTTTTTGTTTAATTATTTTTATTTCTGTTTGCCTCCGCTTAAGCAGCTCAATTTGCTACGATTAGAATACGGTTAGAATAAGTTAGCAAGTTGCGATTCTAACCCTAAGCCTCTGAGGTTGGATCGTGACACTTCTTCTTATTGAACTTCTGAGTCAATGAGATAATGTCGATGTTTACCGGCTCTACTTGGACCGGAGGAGACACAGGAGGCAGAAGTTGATGTCTTTGTTGCTGTCTCATTAATTCTGTTAGGGCTTCAAGCATCTGTTAAATGTTATACTCTTTTAGCAAATTGAGTAAAGACAGTGAAAATGAGTGAAAAACAACCTTGCCCTTAGCCTTTTGTGGAGAGACTAATTCCCATGACTCCAAGCCATACCAATTGCACTAGATCATGGCCTCTAAATTTGTAATTCACTTTTTTCTAGGCTTAATTTTCTTTTCATTTGATTGGCGTTGTTCTCGGATTTCACTATAACACAATTGAATTTTTACGAATTGCATTGCATGCCGTAAATACTCTTTCATGGCATGCACATAAATATCATTATATGACATGCCGTGAAAAGATAATTGTCATTTACAACATATATGTAAAGTTGTAAAAAAAAAAAACATTTATGAAATACTTTATATGCTATATATAATCTTTTACGACATTTTTTTATATGTCATAAATCATTATATTTTTCACGGCATAATTTTGCATGCCGTAAAATGTTATTTTTAATATATTTATGACATATTTTGTATGCAGTATATAATCTTTCACGACATAATTTTACATACCGTAAAAGGTTGTTTATAATATATTTATGACATACTTTGTATGTCGTATATAATGTTTTACGATATTTTTTTGCTTGCCATAAATCACTGCACTTTTCATGGCATAATTTTGAGTGCCATAGAAGATTATTTTTTAAATATATACATTCATTATATTGTTTCTATATCTCCTGGTATATTTTACTTGTTCTATCCAATTCCTTACATCATTTCTTACTCTGTACAACATCAAACAATATTACAAAAAATATATATTAATTCAACCAATTCACATCAGAATTCCAAATTTACATAAATGTCAACGAAAGCCATATTCACTTCTAATCTAAAACAAATAAATAAACTCACACTAGCATCATTTTAACATTCAAATACAAAAAATTTAACAAAAATGTATAAACCACATGCCAACAACTTCTAAAAATCAAAGAATACTGCTAAGATGGAGATAAGGAAAAAAAAATGGATTCATAGAATTGTCAACCAAAAAAAAAGAAAAAAAAAAAAAGAAAGAAAAAGGAAACACTTCAAAGCACAATGATTTTAAGATGGGAGTCAAATCTTCCTTCAGTGTCACTATAGTATTGCCCAATCATGATCTCAAATCTACAACTTTCAATTGGGGGATCATTTATAGTGACCATGGAAAGGTTTGGAAACTCGCTATCCTGGTCAAATGATTGTTACTCTGGCTGGAGTTCAAATTAATCACTAACAACAACAAACACTAGAATTTTCATCTTATTAAGAGACAAACATCAATTAGCACATACTTGATGCATAGCATAAACATCAGGATATGAACTCCCACCATACCTTATTTCAAGGTTTCTGAACCTTGCAGCATATCCAGGACCTGCATATGAACAATTCTCACAGTTCACTGTTTGGATGTGCTAAAATAATTCCTAATGTCGAACATTGCATCAAACCAAGCACAACACAAAAACAACAAACAAGGAGTTTGAGATAAATTACTTGAAGTCTCTGCTACAACTGCCGCAGCAGCAGCCCTTGCTCTCTTCTCTACATTAGCAAGTTCGGCACGTAGTTTCTCAATTTCATAACCCATGGAGATCATACTTTTCTCCATTGCCTCACCTTGTTCAAGGTTACTAGCATGTGCCTCTTTTTCATACTCGATAGCATCCCTATTTGTATTCATTAATCTATTGACAACACTTAAATAAATAAAAAAAAGTGCCAAAAAGTGGTAGACAAATGTATAATGTGGTAAACACCAATTACATAAATATTCCTCTATAAGATATATTAATGCAACACTAAATGCGATGAATGATGATGATGTAATAAGCTATACATGACAAAACTTCAATCTAATGCATTGAAATGTATGAATAGATTGCAAATTTCATAAGATGCGTAGAAAATTATTTCAAAATAACAACAAAAAGCAAGTCCACCAGTAACCAAGATGACAATGGTGTCTGTTGCCATTGGAGAAAGTAACTTTCAATATGTTTCTCCAATGATTAAATACATGGATTTGCACCTTCAAATGCAACAAAAAAATATTAAATCGAATAATTTCATTTTCAGAGAAATCGGACTATCTTTCGCTATGAATATTGAATTATGAACAAACACACAGATATAGAGAGAGACTAATGAATTGTATACGTCCTTCCTCTTTGAATTTCTTGGTGCATGGTCTCAATCTCAACTTTAATAGCATCCCATTGCTGTAACTCTGAGTGATCCCTCACAAGGTCACCATTTTTTTTCTTCTCTCTCACTTGAAAAATAAAAAATAAAAAATAAAAAGTGTTCAGGTATCCATAAATTTTGACCTATAAGCTAAACATTTAATTTTATTAGTTTCAACCTATTTACTTTGTTTTGAACAATCCACATTATGATGATTACCTATTCACATCTTCATTCAACAACATTATAGTAGAGAACATAGAGGACTTCAAAAGACTAACACACAATTACTTCTCTAGAACTTGTTAATCCCATGAATCGCTTACATCTAATAATGTTAGAGTAGAAGGGATGATATATAAAATTATTATAAAAAAAAAAGGCCAATTTTGTTTCTTAATAATATAAGTATAGGCAAGGAGAATGTAAACTTGGTTTTGATGCACCATAAATTGTACAAGCCATAATTACTAGCAACAAAAACGGACTAAACATGCTCCAATAGAAATCCATATAACTTGTTTCATAAGGCCTCTATTCTCTCATTGGTCCCCATTCCATCTGCAATGATGTCATATAACCATTGATTAAACCTTTCAAGCTGCCTAAGGAAACTTGCAATTTCAGAGTCTAGATAAAGGGAGTATGATCTTATGTCATCAATTTCATAGTATTTTTGATAATATATAATATATTTATGATTATATAAATTATTGATAAAAGGTGATGGTGTCTAGTGTGATCAATTTCAAAGATATAAGAGAATGACACATAACGCAAAATAAAGAGTATCTTTGGAGTTGCTCTAAGACTTAGAACCACATTTTTTTATATATAGTCATGGGAAATGTAGTTTATTTATTAGAACTTCAATTGTAAAACAGAAAGTGTCACAAACAATCACACAATAATACAAAAGGGGCAATAGAACAACAATTATTACTTACACAGGGAATTGGCAAAAAGCTGACCATTCCCAGTGCTCTCTCGATCAACACTATCAGCACCAATGCCAGTAGAACTAAAAATCAAATCTCCAAACAGGGCTTGGCAAAGAAGGAATCAGGAAAATACACAAACAAAATTTATAATATGTAGACACATCTACATCTCCTAGGTTGCAAAGAATTAAAACTGGGCACATCACAATTCAAATAGCATCACGCTTTATAATATGAGAAGGGAAATGCCATACAAACAAAATTTATATATGACAATCAAAGACCAGAGTCATTAGTGTGAGTGAAATTTCAGTTGGTCAGAAAGATGCCTCAGCATCAAGTTCTCTCATCAAGGTCTAGAATCACAATCCACAAGCCAAAGTCATTTTAAAAACAAGAAACTAAAAAGCCATCTCATAATAGGACATGCATAACTGTCAATACTTAAACAACATAAAACTCAACATATGAACAAGATTTTTAGACAAACCAAGCATTATTATACATTCGCTATTCAACATTTACAGAGAGAAATTTTCAAAAGTGTTAACATTTCATTCCAAACATAGCAACCTAGAAACCAAAAGCAAGCCAAATCAGAAGATCAAATTTGGACTTCCCAAATATTGAATAAGGTTCACTTTGCAAATGAATGAAATTTATTTGAGACAAAAATAGAATTTCCCTAACGATGCAAGCTTGCATATTCAAAGATTAGAAATTACCTTTACAAAGAGCAAGCTTAACCTTCCTTCCCTTCCAATGTTTGAAAGCAAAAAGCTCTTATATATCAATCTCTGCTAAAAGGATATCAATGGCTTGATGATCTTTCTGAAAAATTCAATTCTCCATAAAGTCAAAATGGGAAAAAAACAGAAACCTTAATGTTCAACAGAAAATAATCACAAAAAATTTAACTTCCCCTTCTTACAAGTAAAATAGAACTGGATTAGTTTCCACCTCACTATATGAACTATATGAACTTCATGAATCTATGATTGTTAAGTAGAGAGGCCAATCAAATAAGCTACTTAGTACTAGAGAATCATCTCACATAAAACATATGTTTTGCAACTAAAAAATGGGGAAGACAATATAAATTTTGTAATTAATTAAGCTACCTAGTACTGATAGTATAAATTATAAATGTCAGTCCACTAGCATACAACCAGTCAGTTGGTTAGATTGATCTGAAGATAAGTGAGAGATTGTGTTTCAGTCTGTGTAATTAGTTCCTTGTTTCTACACTGAAAAGGTTAGGGAGTTGCACAAGAAAAAGAAGTGTAGTGAGAAAAACGAGTATAAGGTCAGAGATTACCACTGCCCATGAAGCACGGATACTTCAAATAGGGTGACGTATCTGTATTGTATCCGTATCGGATATCGATACTCCTTGGATACTCGCAGATATATATCGGATACTTTTTAAAAGTATCGGATACTTCTCAATTATTTTTTCATTAATTTTGGAGTATCGGATACTTAATTTTGAAGTGTCGGATACTCCAAGTCATGTTTACTTGTTTTATAAAATTAGAATTGTAACATTTCTTGCATAGTAATGTAATATAATATAATTGCAAGTACAAATATAAGAATATTTTTCTAATACTTTGTTAAGTTCTTTGATAAGAAGAGCATAGTGAGTTAAATAATAGAATTTATCAAATTGATGTATCCTAATTATTTCATGCATGTCCCCTATAACTTCATAGAAAGTAAGAATTAACAAGAGCATATAACAATGGTAAAATTAAATATCAATAAATAAATAAGCAAGTAAACTTGAATACAATATTTTTCACTAGTGTCAAAGGAAAAAGCATAGGAACAAGTTGTGAATTGTTCTATCATTGTAATATAAATATATTAAACTTGATATTGAAATGAAATATTGGCAAGACCTATTAAAAATTTAATAAGTAAACAAGCTACTAGTTTAAATTAATACAAAATTCTTAAAGGTTAGTATTTTGCATTATAAAATTACATTGTGGTTTCTCAGCGTTCTTTAGTTTATGTGTAAATTCACTATTAATAATTTTAAAAAATATATTTTTCACAAACGTATCCTGGCCGTACCGGTATCCTATTTTTTTAAGTTTTGTTGTATCACCGTATCCGTATCGTGTCGTATCCGTATCTCGTATCCATATCTATGCTTCCTAGACCACTGCAAACGAAAAGTTGTGTACTCTATCCAATAATCTACTGATCTTTATGTTAAAAGAGAAAACCTTACACTTTAGGTGGAGATGCCGACTTCTTGTATTCTAACAATTCAGAATATATCCCATGCAACAAAAATGGGGATAAATCCAAGCAAAAAAGACACTTGGAGCATGATACAAAAAAGCTCCATTAAATCCATTAGCCAAAACTACTCAAAAAAGACGAGCACAAAATAGATAATAGAGAGAGAAACAATAAATAAATAAATAAAATTAAAAAAAAAAAAAAGAAGCAACAGCACCAAACCAACTTCTGTTCGACAATTAAATTGGCAGGTGGGCACAAACATGTGTAGAATCGTATTTGTTAACTTAAAAAGGGTTTCCCCAACACAAGAAAAGTAATATTGTGAACAGAAAGATCTATGGACTTTGTTTCCTATATATTTTCTAGGCTCTAAAAGCCTAAATTGAACCATTCTCCATCTCTATGTGGTTGCACACAGCAATTTTAACCATAATAGAAAATGTACCACTCTAATGTATGTTACTGTTAAATTATGACTAAAGATTCATAAAGACGTGTTCATACTGCTATTGTCCAAGAACAATAAAGGGAAATATTCTGGTTTTGAATGAAAATAGTCTTAGGGTTGTACATCATTTTCCAGGTCCAGGGGATAACATCAGCAAATAGGGCTGATGAACAAATTCTTTGCTATTTGATGTTGCATTTCCATCATCAGCTGTGGCTAACTGATACCAGGTCCATAAATAGAGCTTTCTAGCATTAGCATCATTGAAATTAGTTCATATCATACAAGAAACAGAAATAAATTTAGAGTAGGAATTGCTTAATCCATATAAGTTCCACCCCAAATTCCCAAACCAGGTGCTTTGGTTCATATTACCATGATAAATGGGCTTATGCTAAACAATTTAATATTATATATCTATCTATATATACTATTATAAAGAGAAGCCTTCTCTTGGTGTCTATGTCTCAAATTATAGGTTTTCCCAAAATATGCCTATATCAGCACTAAGCCAAAATCAATTCAAACACCCACACATATATATACATGACATATTACTCATCCACACAATTAAATATATGTACATACACACAGAAAGAAATATAAACGAGTAAGGTTACCTCAAGTATCATAAAGATCTAACCATTTTTATGTAATGCACAAGCTATTTTCTCTTGAAATTTCCTGCATCAGCAAGCAAATGGGCTCCAAATTAGTAACTACCATGATGCGCATTCCAATTAAAATAGCACTCACAGCAATCGCTACAACCAGCCTGTTAATAATAGGGGCATCGATCTAGGAAAAATGCACCTCCCAATGCTTTGAGCATTTTCATATATACTGCACAAAATCCTTATATTATTTTAAACTATCTTCTATTAATTTGGTGTATTCACTAGAACTGCAGTAATCATCAGGACCATGCCTTAAAGTATAGGCTGATATTTGCCAAAGGACAATATATTTCCTTGGATCTAGTAATTATGTGTCGTTTCCAATCATGTGTGAGGCTAATGAAGTAGAAGATAAACAAAAGACAACGAAGGTAAGATACCTCAGTATAAATCAGATCTAGCAAATAGAGAAATCCTAGCATGGGATTATTGTTATTTTCAACATAAATCATTCGAAGAAATCCAATCAAAACTAGTCAATTGTGAATAAATCAACTGAAACATAATCATATTTTGACAAATTTTGAGTTTAGTTCCAATAAATTTGAGCAATCAATCGATCGATCATATGAATTTGAGAGAACAAAACCTGTAGATAGAATTCATTCGCCCAATGAAGATTTTTTCTGCCAGAGACCTAAATTGGTTTCCATGATCTAAATAGAAAGCTATTTTCCTGGAATTAGCACACTGACATACACGCGTAGCACATTGCATATTGAATTACTCGTGGCCAAGAATCACAAAATCGAACACTAGACTTGCACAGTAAGTAATGTTTCTAGTTCGCACTCTAGTTCTTGTAAAAACAACAGTCATGACAATAACATATCAATATCATTCACAATTATGAGGCACCAGACACAACAAAAATAACAAACTCATTCTTTTGTTTGTTGCCATTCTTGTATAGTCAAAAATTTCTTTGTTGCATATGCCCAAAATTCATTTGTTAAAACAAAAAACGAAAACAAACAAACAAACAAAACAAAACAAAAGGCAGGGCACTTTATGCTCTAAATGTCTTAGCACTAGATGCATAGAACAGATGGCATGGAAAAACTACAATATTCATCAACATAATTCATTGTTAAATTAGAAAATTAAAATAAAATTAATTACATAACAACCAAAGTTGTGTTGACTTTCTCCAACAATTATCTCTTAACAACATACCTAAACGATTTTCTTTTTCTTTTTTTCCTCACAAGCTCTGTAACTTCGGCAACTGTAAAGCCAACTTCCCGCTCAAAAGGGAAGCAATCTATAAAACACAACCAGAGTTCTGTTGACTTGGATATCTACTGATGATATTTTTTTCATCTGAGAAAAAGGAAAAGACAGTGGAGAAGAAAAAGTTAAAGCAACCTGATAATGATCCCCTAAAGGAGTAGAGTCAATGTGCTACCCATTTGAGAGACAAATCAACATACACTACCCCAGAACCTTAAGACACAAACAATCCAAACAGATCCAGCTATGAAATGCATACCAAATACATAAATTATATAAAAATCATGAATTATATAAAAATCTCAAAACACATAAATCTCATAACATACACCAATAATTGAGTGAAATGAAAGACCAAAAAATTTAAAAACTCATCCAAACAGACGCAAAAAAACGAAAATAAATAAACAAATAAAATTGATGCATCAATCAGAAATGGCAGAAATGAACAATTCAAAATTCAGTGGAAGAGTGAAAATACACTCCTAACCTTGAATGCAGCCGAATCCAGCAGCCATAGAAGAGCATAAACCACCGGCACCTCTGTTCAGATCATCACCACAAACTTGTTAGAGAGAGACAGAGACAGAGACAGAGACAGAGAAGTGATTAGTGATCATACCCGAGAAATGGCGAGAAGAAGCAACAAAATCGCATGGAAGATCGGAGTTGGCTAGGGTTTCCAATTGAGAACCGCCCAGCTGTGCTTTGATTGGAGGTGGTAACGAACAGTCTAACTTACCGAGTTGACTCCTAACTTCACCACTGCCACTGTCATCATCATCAACTTCCTCCAATTCTACATCGTTCCCGCCACCGCCACCACCGCCACTATCATCATCATCATCTTCTTCTCCTTCATCGTCTTCAGTTTGCCTCTCTGCTTCTCCGAGAGCTTCGAACCTCTGCTTACTCTCATCCATGGCGAAATCAGAGAGAATTTGGGATTGAGAGAGAGAGAGAGAGAGAGAGAGAGAGAGGAGTTTCAGTCATGTTTGATTCGGGCAAAACTGGGTATGTTTGGTTGGAGAATGAGTGAGAGCGCTAATTAATTTAGCACTAGGTCGTATCATAAATATTTGGTGTTTTGGTTTTAGTGTTGTATATATATATTTTTTTTTTATTGAATGTCATGTTATTAGTGGTCTTTTTAGAGTTTTAAAATTATGGGTCTCTATTATTGTTGTGTTTGGTTTAAAAGATGTTTTGAAAAATTATTTTGAGAGAGAGTTTTAGAAAAAGTGATTGATTTGATGTATATGAGAGAGATTTGTTTGAAAGTTTTGTAAACTAAACAAATTTTGAAAAAAAAATTTAGAAAAATTTGTTTGATTTGATTATTTTTAAAAACTTATTTGTAAAAACAATTTCTCAAAAATTTTTAGGAAAAAAAAACGAAACAAAGCCTAGGTCTACAAATATAAACAAAATAAAATCTTAAAACTAAGGGTTTTACTTTTGTGATATAGTATGAATAACATTTAAAATATCATACAAGGAGTTTTCACGGCATGTGTTAGCGTGCCATTTAAAATAGATATAGATATATGAATAATATTTAAATTCAATTTAAATATAAAAAAAATTATATTTTAGAAAAGTTAGATATAGAAAATTTAGGGTAATTATAAATATATTTTTTAAAATTTATTTAAAATATAATTTTTATTTTTTTTATTTTATCTTTTGGGTTTGAACCTTTTTATTTGGCTTTAAATATTATTTGAATTGATATTAAATTTTAATTTTTTTAGTAGAAGTTTTCACAACATGCTAATGGATGTCGTGTACAATTATAATATATTATGACATGAAATATATGTCGTCTTAAATATAAATTTTTCATGACAAATTTTTGTAAATCGTGAAAGTGTATATTTTTTATGGCATTTTTTAACTTGTCATAAATATATGAATCAATGACTTATATGATATGGGAAAATGGCTCGTAGCTCAAATTTTGTGGCTCAAAAGTGGCTCAAATGGCCAAAACGGCGTCGTTTTGGCCATTTTCATGTTGTTCTGTACTCAAAACGACGTCGTTTTGGCCATTTGAGCCACTTTTGAGCCACAAAATTTGAGCTACGTAGCATTGTCGTATGATATGTATGTCATTATTGATAAAACATTAATAGCTTGCAAATAAAAAAATGTCGTAGTATGACATGCATTTATGCATGTTGTAAACGGAAGGGGTTTTTTTTTTAAGAAAATTGGTCTAACGTCCGTCTCCACAATAATATGTTTTGATGACTAAAGTCCCTCAACTTTATTTTATGTTACAAAATACCTAATTTACCCTTGTTTGGATTTTGGAATATTCTATTGCTCAGTTCAAAAAAAAAAAAAAACAGACACGAATATTCAGTTGCTAATTTCTTGGTGGATATTTTGGAAACTGGTTTTGTAGTGGAGATTTCGTAGGGATTTTGCAAGTGTTGCAGTGTACTTGACGATAGAGATTTCGACGATCGTGTAGGTGTTACAATGTGTTGATCGCCTAGGTTTTTGAGTTGAGTTGAATCAGGTATGATTTCGATACAGATTCCACATGAATTTTGATTTTTGTTTTGAATTTTATGTAAGGATTCCGATTTGATTTTGTTCAGTTTTGATTGAGTGTATTTTTGCATTAGGTTTTTGTCTTCAGTTTTGATCAATTCGCAATTAAGTTCCGATTTGATTTTGTTTTCAGTTCCGATTTGATTTTGTGACAGGGTTTAAACAATTTGTAATTAAAGAGAGTCTAGCTCAATGAAGTTGTTTATGATTTTTGGAGTTGATTTTTCATTTTCTGTTATTGATCAATTTTAGACAGAGGCCATCTTGATAGAGTTGATTTTTATTTTTTGGAATTAATTTTGATTCAATGTTTTTTGATCAATTTCAAAGAGTGTTGATAGTGTAGTTGATTTTGATGTTTAGAGTTCATTTTTCGTGCTCTGTTTTTCATTAACATGCTGATCAATGATAAGTTTTGTTCTCTATTTTTTCAAACCAGAGAAATTTGTTTAAACCAGAGAAATTTCATTATCTGCACTTTTGTTGGTATAGTCCAGAGAAAATTGTAAGTTTGTTATTATAATCCAAAGTTTCTAATGCAGATTGAATCTGAGAAAGTGAATGTAAGTTATTAAATTTGTCTGGACTTTTATTTGTAGTTGATAGAAAATTATAAGTTTGTTATTCACTTTCAGTTTGTAGTTCAAAGAAAATTATAAGTTTGTATAAAATGAATATAATTTTTTGTTTTTCTGAGCAAAAGTTCTTAAATTTCTCTGGACTTTTATGTTGTTATTGTGAAGTGTTTTTATGTTGAACAAATTATTTTTTTTTGTTTTTTCTTTCAATTTCGATGGACAGTGCAGTGTTGTTGCTGTGCAAATATGGGGATGATACTATTGTCATTAAAGTTTCATGTGAATTGAATTTTGATGAATTGGTTGGCATTTTGTGAAAAACATGGGAGAATTTGATTCCTGAGACTATGTGTATTTCATATTCTATTGTGGGCCATCCGAATTGTATGGTTCGGAATAATATTGATTTTCTGAATATGTTGAGGGTTGTTTGTGCACGCAGTGTTGATATAGTTGATGTTTCAGTTAGTAGGTGTAGTACTTCTTATGAAGAGGATGAAGTGGGGTCTAATTGGGCAGATGTTGTGGATGGTGAATGTGATAGGCTGGTGGATATTGAAAGGAATTCACTCTCTAAGTTTTGTTATCACCAAGAAAATGTGTTATTGTCAGCTGGGTGGCGAAATAATATTACGAGTGTTGGACAAGAGTTTGAGGGTGGTGTGGTTGAGTTCCATACTTGTTTATGCAAGTATGCTATTGAGGTTGGTTTTCAGTTTACGTATGTTAAAAATGACAAGCTGAGGGTTACGGAAAAATTTGCATATAAGGAATCAAGGGGATGTATGTAGCATGTACATGCTTCAGTTGAAAAAAGAATGGGTTCTTCTACATAAGGACTTTGAACAATGAACATACTTGTGGTGTGGCGGTTCGTACGAGTAAACATGCTAGGATGAGTTCCAACTTAGTTTCTGGGCTGATACTTGAAGAGGTAAGTGCAAAACCTTTAACTCGTCCAGTGGATGTTGTCAAAGAAATGAAAGACAAGTATGGGGTCTCAATCAATTATAGTTGTGGTTGGTTGGGGGTTGAAAAAGCAAAATGTAGTACATATGGGGATTCTTGTTTGTCATTCGATCAATTATGGTGGTATTTTGATGAGGCATTGAAGAACAATCTAGGTAGTGGTTTTGAGTTAGATTTTGAAGATAACAACCGTTTCAAAAGAGTGTTTGTGGCTTTTCATGCATGCATTGCTGGTTTCAAATATTGTCGGTCATTGATTTTTCTTGATGGAACATTTTTGAAAGGACGATACAAAGGAGTTATGCTTGCTGCAACGGGAAAAGATGGGAATGAAGGTAATTGTAAATATATATAATTTTATCTAAGTATGTGAATTTTCTATACATATATGAATTGAGTGAATGTGATTTTTCTCTGACACTTTGAATTTTCTCTGGTTTTGGCCACTGTGTGGATTTTGTATTGTTGTGGCCACTGTGAAAATTTTCACTAGATTTTGGCCAGTGTGTGAATTTTCTCTGGATGTTGTCATTGTGTGAATTGTATCTGTAATTGTTCACTAAGTGAATGTTCTCTAGGTATTCTGATTGTGTGAATTTTCTCTGTAGTTGGTCACTAAGTCAATTTTCTCTAGATGTTGCCAATGTGTGAATTTTCTCTGGAGTTGGGCACTAAGTGAATTTTCTCTGGATGTTTGCATTATCAAATTTCTCTGGTTGTTTATTGTTCTAATTTTCTCTGCATGTGTATATCTAATATGCTTGTTACTATTTGTTTTGTAGGTTTTTTTCCTATAGCTTTTGCTGTTGTTAATGCTGAGAATAAAGACAATTGGTGTTGGTTTCTTGAACATCTATATAGAGTATTGGGATCAGAAAGGGTGATAAGTTTCATATCAGATCGACATTGTGGTATTGTGGAAGGAATTGATAGGTTTTTCCCTAACTACTTTCATGGATTTTGTCTTGAACATCTAAAGAGAAATTTGAGGGATAAGTTGTCATGTGGAAACACAAATTTGGTTAGGGAGACGATTGTGTCCAAGTTTTCAGAATGTGCGTATGCGCCAACAAAGACATCATTTCATTTCAAGTTAAATAAATTAAAAAGGGAGGGAGGAGACATTGTGAGTGTTTTCTTGAGAAGTTTACCAAATGAAAATTGGAGTGATGCATATTTTGAGGGGAAACGTTATGGTGAGATGTATTCAAATGTTGCTGAGTCATTCAATTCATGGACACGAGACGCTCGGCATTTGCCAATAACGAATTTGGTGGACATGATACGGTTGCAAATCATGAATATGAGGTCTGATAGGAGGCTGCTCTCTAGTAAATGAAATAAAGTTCTCTGTCCTCGTATGGATAGTGTATTGGAGAAGGCTTTCTTGGATGGGAGGACATGGAATGTGAGTTTATCATCTGATAATGTCTTTGAAGTGCATTGTTTTCCTTTGGTTATGGTTGATCTTGGGTTGAGAACTTGTTCATGTCGAAAATGGGAAATACATGGTTGTCCATGTCAACATGCTGTTGCTGCAATTTTTAGGAGTGGAAAGAATTTGAATTCATTTGTTGAACCATTTTTTCATACTGATATGTATCGTCAAGCACACTCGTTTTCAATTGGCCCAGTTCCAACTGTTGAAAAACCTGTGTGTAGCATTGATGATGCTATGATTTTACCTCCATTGAGCAAGAGACCTGCTGGGAGGCCGAAGAAGAACAGAATTGCTTCTACTGGAGAGTTTAAAAGGGTGATTAAGTGTAGTCGTTGTGAAAG